TAGCATCTCAATCTAAATGAAGATATTTCAAAACCCCAAACTTAAAAACAATAAAATATCCAGTCCTTAAGAATCATTACTGCAAGGCTTCATCACTTCCCTCTCTCATTACTTGTATTCATCATTTCAAAGCAACTTATTCATACCATGTATATAGTTTAAAACTCATTATGACCAATATACTCTTAAATTCATAATAATGAAGGAGAACAGATGACAAATTCCTTTTTTAGCATTTTCTGCTCACTAGGTGAAACAGAAATAAAATATATTATAGAAAAATTCACTTACTAACACATATGTGTATCAGGGGACAATGTCAGAGTTCAGTGAGGATTAACAGCTATGGTACCCTTACGATTCGTACTCTGGCTTAATTGAAAAATAAGAGAAAAATCACATTTTAAGCTTCGGGTCTCAATCTAAAAGGTTCCAGGCTTTGCTTTCTTGCAATTCTTCCTGGCTTTCTTGCAATTCTTCCTGTAAAACTGCTACCCACTATCTAGGAATGCCAAGAAATGTGAAAATGAAACCCTTCTTTGAGTTTCTTTTTTTCCTAGAAAGTTTAAGTCTTAACTTACTTTGATGAAAAAGAAACCTATCTCTTGGGTAGGACCTTTGAAAGAGTTACACTGCTCATCACACTAACTTGGCAAGTCTTCCCTGTGAGAAGAAATCTTATCTACAAATTCATCCCTACTACCTACTGCCACTGTATGCCTACCCTGGGTGATGGCAATGTGGAAGTATAGATCAAAGCAGACCTTCACTATGACTGACAGTCAGCCAAAGGCTTACTCTCTAACTTGGGCCATTGTCACTTAATAAATTTGTGTAACTGCATTAAAACAGAAAACCACCCCTACCTCAGCATAAAAAAAAATTTCTATATCATGTACTTATGCAAAGCATGTACACCTATGTCAAAATTCATTCTGGCCAAGCTCATACCTGTAATCCCAGCACTTTGGGAGGCCAAGGTGAGTGAATTGCTTGAGCCCAGGAGTTCAAGACCAGCCTGGGCAACATGGCGAAATCCCATTTCTACAAAAAAATAGAAAAACTAACTGGGTGTGGTGGTGTGCACCTGTAGTCCCAGCTACTCAGGAGGCTGAGGTAGGAGGATCATTAGAGCCTGGGAGGTCAAAACTGCAGTGAGATATGATTGCATCACTACACTTCAGCCTGGGTGACAGCAAGAATCTATCTCAAAAAAAATTTTTTTTATTCTGGTCCCAGCTGAGATTCAGTAGCACTGGCTTTGGGCAAAATTATTATTTGTTTACTTGTTTTATATTTCCCCCTTTCCTCCCGTTATCTTCCTTTACAACTTGTGGCTCCTAGACATTCTCCTGCTTTCAACACAGTTATGAATGTGCTCTATGGACCACCTGACTATACTTTATAATAAAGGCAAAGTAAATAAAATATTAGTAAATCTATTAATAATTGATCACAAAAATAAGTAAATGATGTAGTTTGAATGTATGTCCCCACCAAATCCCATGTTACATTGTACTCTCCAATGTTGGAGACAGGGCCTGATGGGAGGTTTGGGATCATGGGGCAGATCCCGCATGAATAGCTTGGGCTATCCCCTTGGTGATGAGTGAGCTATTGCTCTGAGTTCACAGGATATCTGGGCATTTAAAAGTGTGTGGTACCTTCCCCTCCAACCCCTCCCTCTTGCTTTCCACTGTATGATGTGCCTGCCTCTCACTTTGCCTAGAAGCCAAGTGATGTTGGCGCCATGCTTGTATAGCCTGCGGAACTATGAGTCAATTGAATCTCTTCTCTTTATAAATTATCCAGTCTCAAGTATTTCTTTATAGCAATGCAAGAACAGATTAGTCTACTTGTTATACATGCCAAAGAGACTTTTGGTAAATTCCAATATTCATTTCCAATCTAAAGAAAAAAGGGCTCAATAAATTAGGAATAACAAGGTATTTTATATTGTGATTAAAAATATTTATCTCAAGTAAACGATCAAAATCGTCCTTAAAGAGTAAATAAAATACTAGAGATATCCCCATAAAAGTAAAGTATGCAGTAAGAACACCTGTTAGTGCTACTAGTCTCACATTATTTTTTCATTTTTAGCCTAAGGATTTTTCAAATAGAGGTAGGAGATCCAATACAATAAAACAGAAAAAAGAAAATCTTTCCTGAAAGGCACAAGAGAGATATGCTATGTTAATGGTTGGGAGGACTCAATGCTTTGTTTTTGCTTTTGTTGTAGAGACAGGGGCCGTGCTTTGTTGCCCAGGCTGCTCTTGAACTGCTGGCCTGAGGTGATCCTCTGTCTTGGCCTCACAAAGTGCTGGGATTATAGGCATGTGCTACCACACCTGGTCTCAGTGTCATAAAACATAAATTCTTCTAAAACTGAGTTATAAATTCAATGTATCTTGAAACACAAATAACTGATCAACTGATTGGGGAAGTTCAGATCTCTATAACTCATATAAAACTTTTAAACACAAATAAAACATGGTCAACATATAAACTCACAGTGCATAAAAAGTTCACTCTGTTAATCAAATACAAGTTAAAATGAGATGGCTTTTAAAAAAAATCAAATTGGCAAGTATGCAGAAGGAAAAACAACACTCAAGTCAAGGAAATAGGTACTTTCATACTCTGACTCAGCAGTTCTACTTGCAGGAACAATCAAAGCTATAGTCATTTACATATTATAATCATATAACATTTATATGTAAAGATGTTCATCACAGTGTTATAAATAATATCATCAAAGTCAACATAACATACAATAGCAGAAGATTGGCTTAATACATTTAAAATATGAACATATCATGAAATATTATGTAACCATCAAAATTATGCTTTAGTGACATGGGGAAATTATTCATAATAATGTGTATTATGTTTTCAAATGTAACAAACCAAGGTACTTAGTGTAAAATGGTATATATGCATTCACAAGAAGAAAAAAGACTAAGAAAATACACAGTGCAAGAAATCAGTGTATAAGAAAATAAACTAATACTTTAAAATGTTATGTTTTACAATAATTTGTATTTATTCATTCATTCATCTTCCAACCTCCTTAGGGTTGCAGGTGGCAGGGCCTATCCTAGCAAATCAGAGGGCAAGGCAGGAGCCAACATTGGCAAGGTCCCCTCACACATACAAACCCTGACACTCACTCACAGTCTGGACATGTCAATTCACTTAACGTGCACAGCTTTAGGATGTGGGAGGAAACCCAGAGAAAACCCATGCAGGCATGGGGGGAACATGCAAAGCCCACAGAAGCAGTGGCCCCAGTTGGGAATTAATTTTTTTTCTCATCAACATTATAACAAAACAACACTGAATGAAATGACATTATTGAAGGGCATGCTGTACACAAATCACTTTCAGTGAAAAGCTCTGGGTACTGAGATTATATGCAATATTTATTTTATTCTGCATGCTTTCATAAATTTTTTACATTTCCTTCGATAAAAACATATTAGCTTTACATTCAAAAATAACAAATGTTATCTCAAAGAGATCATCTCAATTTTAAATTTCTGCTCTGAAGTCACTAGGGGCTATAAACCCAGAATATGACTTAAACTAGAATCACAACATTTGTAATACAAACAATGATGTGCATAAACGTTAAAAACCACTGTTTACTACAATAACTTCATTCTTATACCAACCAATACAGAGGTGGCAACCAATAAGGTAAGTAATAGCATAAAAGTAAAGGGTGGGTACAAATGATTAAAGGAGAAGATCAAAGTTTGTCAAACCAGAAAGATCTGTTTGACTTAGCTTTTATTCTTAGCTTTGATATAAACAAATTTTACATAGTTTACTACACAATAACTTTATGTTTTGCTTTGTGGCCTATTTTATATTTATTTATATTTACACACACATGTGCATAAATGTATGTGTATAATTAGTATTTAATAATCTAAATAATTTTTACTAACCAAATGAATAAACACAGACTTCAAAATTTAAACACAATAATGTGGTTTTGAAGAAACTGACTCAGATAATTCTCTATGTAGTTATTATTAGGCACATTTGAAAATAGTTCTTACATTATTTTAGCACCAAATAGACACTGGCCTATAATATTTAACACCTAAACATTAAAACATCATTCACACAAACTTAACTTCAGAATTTAAAAAAAGACCATGAACATACCCAGATTAATTACAACTATTTACTTTTAAAATTCATTTGATAAAAGTTAAACTTATCTAATAAAAAAGAATAACCTAATCAAATTTAAAGAAAATCCAGGATAGAATAAAATTCCCAAATTATTATATTTATTAAGTATATACTTTTCTGACAGGCCATAACAAAAGATAATCTAAGTTATGAAAATCACCATATTAGATAGAATGAGACTCTCTACTGAAGACTATAAATTTACTTAAGCACTGACACAATATAGTTTACCCAAAACCATGCTGGGGTGGATGACAGGAGATGCCTGGTCTTCTAAGATGAATAAGATTCTGAATATGGGATATTCCCTTAATTTACGGGAGATAAAAGACTTACGTGATTCCTGGAACTAGATATCCTTGAATATTTGTGTCCCCAACACACAAGGCTTCCTTCAGATAACTCCCACTTTCCCTTTTACAGTATTTATATATAGTAATTATATCCCTGATATAATTAGGGGGAACCTCAATTAGGTAATCAGAGCCTTTTAATACCTAAAATCCCTTCATTTTTTCTTTAGTAAGGGAAGTATTCCCCGGTCTCAGAGCAGTCTGCAAATCACTGCAAAAGGTAACTCATCAAAAAGCTAGTCTGAAGTGTTACCAGGGAACAGCAGGCGGCAAACATTCAAACCCAGAAATTGTGATTCAACATTTCCCATATAACTAAACCATTCTGCATAAATGACAGACCTTGTCAACAAGGCTTTTGCCTGAAAAGATCTAAAATGAAAAGAGATCAACTGATAAGAAGGTAAGATGTCTGGCTATATTAATATCAATACTTACGTATCATACCTCTGCAGTGGTGTCACTTTGTTCTTATTTTTATCAACTGAACCCGTAGATAGCTGAAGAAAATTGGGATTTAATTTATATAATTCTTGAAGTAGCTTCTGTTCATATTCTTGGTGTTTACCCGCCTAATGAAAGAAGAAATTAAAACTGCAGTGGGATTCACAAAATGGCTGGTATAAAATACTAAATAATCTTCTGAATTATTAAACATATTCTAAATAAAACAAGGTATTTTTAAATAAAACATTAAATAAATAAAATTTAAGTAAATTTTTAAATAAAACAAATAAGAGAAGTCTGTGAGGTTGCCACAAAACTTCTAGATCAATGAAAGTCATTCCAACAAAAGTAATGATATATACCCCATAAATTAAGGCATTTCATCAACCCACTTATTGTACAGAAAAGCATATTAAGGGGAGAACATTTTCTCTAGCTCAGAAAGTGTAAGGCCCACTTTAAACCTACTTCCAAGTCTTTCATGTAAGAATTAAGTCTTGTAACACGTCATTACCGAGTTTTCTGAAAATCAGCAAAAATTCATCAAATGACCTCCTTTTTAATCTGGAGATTAGCAGTTGAAGTAATACACAGATGAACAGTTTTACTATATTCTTCATTATCTTGACACTAAGTAAAACTTCCATTAATTTGTTTTTTTACTTTCTCTGTGGTTATCAAAAGTAAAATAAAAATTAATGTATTTTAAACTCTAGACCCAGGGTCAGCAATTTACAGCCAGCTGCCTGTTTTTGTAAATGAAGTTTTACTGGAACACCGTCATGCTACTCATTTACATACTGTATTTGGCTGCCATTCTGCTACAAAGGCAGAGTGCAGTAGTGTAGCAGAGGCAGAGTGAGGTAGTTGTGACAGAAGACTACATACATAGCTCAGAAACCCTAAAATATTTACTAACTGGCCCTTTACAGAAAAAGTTTGCCAATCTCTGCTCTATATACAAAAGAAGGCTGTGCTTACTCTAGCTGAGTAGGTGTACATCAAAAGGCAATGTCACAAACATTATGGGAAAAATTAGTCAAAATTGTCTGTGGAAGCTAATAAGACACAAAAACAAATGATAATGAAATTACTTTGACTAACATTTTACTATTTGCACATATATCACGACTTGAAGAATATTTTTACTTACCTTCAGGGATGTTAATTTTTTTAAATTATGGTCTAAATAGATGTTATACAACAAAGCCAAAACAGAACAAACCAAAACAATAACAAGGGCAACTGCATTTAATTGAGCTTAACTGTATCATATATACTGCACAATGCATCGTTCCCTGTTCTGAGAGGCCACTTGCTTGTTTCAATTGGACCTATAAACATTTCCTATGGCACTAAATTTTGAGTTACGCAGTAACAAGGAAAGATTTTCTGATTTTTGCCATAAAATTTATTCAAATTTCTTTTCTACATTGAGAAAGTGTTTAAACAACAACAAAAATAATCCCCTTTTAAAGTAATTTTAAACTCAGATAAAGAGCAAGATAAATTCAGGACAACATTATGAAATGAGTTTTAAATTATTTTTTAAAAAATACATTTAGATATGAAATTTACATTTTTAAAACATGAGAAGTCTTGAAAATTATTTCTGGAATCAATACTTCAGGAGATATGGCTTTCACTAGTATGTGTGGAAAGCCACGAAGAGCTCAACTTGTTATTAAAATGACTCTACAGGGGCAGTTCATAAAGACAGGTTAAATCCCATTACAAAGAAGTTCCAAAGGACTACCCATACATTTTATTTTATTGTTTAATACTACTTTAAATGAGATCAACTGGGTGGGACTTGGAAATTGTGATACACAGAAACTGATAGAAAATATGAATAAAGTACACCCTCTATTAATTACAATTTAGTTTGAAATGGTTCTATCTTAGATTTCATTCTAGAGGGTTTCATCCAAAAAACAAAATAAAAAAGCATTTATTAAAAAATCAGTAAGTCATCTGTCTTTATTAAATATCAGATAGACCTTATTTTAACATTGTTTTGGAATCATAAAGACTATACTGTCAAGAAACTCCAATGTATTTATTATAATGGGATTTAATCTGTACTAGCTCCAAGTCAAAAAAAGGTAATACTCCATTTAACAATCTTTTCTTAACGGAGCCCCTACCAGACTTTCTCTAGTTTGACCTGGAGAATGAAAGGTAGCAATGAATGCCCCCCACCTTCTAAATGAGAAGTATTCCTGAAAAGTCCACAGCAACAATCTGAAGTCCTCATCTACAATAGGGAAGTGCAGCATTGTGCTTTGGTATAATCCTCATTTAATATGTCGTATGGTCAATATTTTTACTTGTTAAGGCATGTTTATACTACAAATTAAAAGGAGACAGGAGAAGAGGAAATGTAAAAAAGAACATAGGATATTAAGCCGTCAATTCACCCTTTATAGGATACTGACTCAGTGGACACTTTCAGGAGGAGAATAATTTTATAAAAATAATATTAGTTTATCAGTATCTTTTGACAGAATATTATTTTCTAGCAAGCTCCATAAAGAGTATAGATTGATTTAACAAATAATTACAATATCCTATTTAGCTTTCATTTTGTGGACATTCCCCTTAAAATAGCATTTCCCAAAGTGTTTTTCTGGTCAACTAAGTTCTGGTTGTAAACTACCTTCAAGGATACGTATTAGCATATTAAGGACTCTGAGGAAGTATTAAAGCAAAGAAACCTGTTCATCTTCATTAATCTAGTATTTCAAACCTAACTGACCACAGACCTACTGTTATTGTAACAATATCCTGCAGAACTGACCTTCCATTAAACACTGTTTGGAAAATGCTACTTTAGAGTAAAACCAGTTTTTACAAAATCAAGTCGTTACTTTTTGCTTTTGCAATTTTAACTAATAAAAAAAATACTCCCTTTTCTGCAAAGTTGATAATTCATATGACTTTACTACCTGCATTTCCTCTTTTGTGAAGCTGGCCGCCTCATCCCCCAATTCATGAAGATACATGCAGTCGGGTTTTGGACACTGCATATTCTTTAAGAAATAACTGCAGTATTTTGTTGTACCTAGAGAGGCCTGCGGGAGGAAGAGGGGTAAAGGAAAAGAAGACTCAACATGAACTGACAACACAATGAGAATCTCAATGTTTAGTGTTCTCACATCACCTAAAATGAGGCACAAACATGACAAAACAAAAAGTATGGCTGCAAATACTAGAGAACTAAACTATTAGTAGCAGGATTTATTATAGATGAGGCTCATTTGAAAAAAAAAAAAAAAAAGTCCATCTACAGTATCCAAAACTTGAACACCCAAATCTTCCCTAGATATCAGGAGAGGAGATAGATAAAAAAAAAAATCTGTTCCATGTTATGGGTGGTTAGACACATAAGTAGGCAAATTCCTTTTTCTAATTATGTCATCCTTCTTTCATTAATAGTAAAGCTTTGTTTAGTGGGACTCTTCACTCAAACCTGAATCAATGGCCATATTTTAAGGACAAAAAATAGGAACGTCTACTTATTTCTGATGAAAATAATGGTTCTATTTTCACAAAATAAGATTTACGTAAAAATGTGGTATTTTTAAAGATTATCCCCTAATAATGACTGTGTTTATTCCTATCCGGTAAAACAGGACCCTACAGAAATCAGCAGTAAACAAAGTAGCTATAATAAATGGTATGGAACCCTAAGGTAGACTCTTCAAATTAAGTATCAAATTTAATATATAAATGCTCGGTTCTCCTCTACTTACTATATTTTATCTCTTCTCCCTTAAAAAAAAAGAATCAAGAGGACTATATTACCTTAAGTGTTCTGCCATCTACTACCACATTGTTGACACACTGTATGGCTCTGAGAGCATCTTCTGACCGGATATAGGTTACATAAGCACTGGCACTTGGACCCTAAAGTGAAAAGATCCCATTCCACTGTTATTAGCCTCAAATTAAACAATACTAAAAAAATTCTATTGCAACCTAGGGAATTCTAAAGACCTTGACTACTACTATTGCTAATGACAATAATTAGTCGTAATAGCAATTTTAATTAAATACTAAACTAGCTCATTTCAAAGTAATCATACTCAATGAATTTTATCTGATTTTAAGAACACTGTAATATATATGAATAAAATATTACTTTGGCTTGGCATTTATTTTTTTAAAAAGTCATTTGACAGGCTCATCAAGGTTATAAAAATTAAAATTTAGATTTAAAAACAAGATTTAAAGACTGTGTCAAATTATGTTCTCTCAAAAATAAATGTAATCTGGAGAACTATCTGATAGCACCAGCATAACAAAGATACTATTAAGTTTTCAATATCTGAAAATATTACAGATTAGAAATCATTCTCTAATCCTCATCTAATTATCATATTGCCTGATAACAGACTCACCTTCCCCTCCCCTTCACTCCATCACTAAATGTTTGTTTTACTATTTCCCTCTTATTATATCAATTTTAAGCACCAAAAAAATCCCCCACCCCACCAACAGAGGTCACTACACTGCTTAAGTCCTTGCCCTCAAGCTTTCTAATCAGAGAGCAAAGAAGTTTCCTTCGGAACAGCCCAAGTCAAGCCCAGAGCATAGCAAGGAAAGGCAAAATTCCCTAAAATTAGTTACCTGTGAGCCTGCATATGATGTGCTATTATTGATGACAACTTTATGTATTTTACCAAACTTCCCAAAATATTCTGGTCGTTTTAAAACCTATAAAAGAAGAAGAAATAAGGTATAAACTGTCCCCATTTTCAACAACTTTATCCTTATAATGGAGACATTCATCACTCCTCTTCAGCAAAAGGAAAATAGTAATTTTTAATGTTTTCTATTAAATGTGACTACCTCCTAACTGCAGTAAGTGTAACTAACCTACAGGAAATCAAAAGAGTCCAAAAGCTGTTCTTTTTTTGACCCACTGAATAGAAACTGAGACTCATTAAGTTTGGTATTATCTACTATGTTCTAATAACTGCTCCAATAATCTATGGGATCTTACCTTTACAGTATTCTTAAACACAAAACAGATCAACGATCTTAACTACATTCCCATTGAGATGATCTTTATAAAAAAGAAATTCTTCAAAAACAATGGCCAAAATTATTTATAAAAGGTAGAGATAAATTGAAAGGACAGTCTACTCATAAATTTACTGTATATAAAATTTGATATATATTAAAACATTATTTGTAAATTATAAATTTCAAATAACAGAGTGTCCACCCAACCCTCTACGCTTTATGATTTATCATTGTGCATACGGTTTCCTATGTAAATCAATTTTACCATTTCTCATCTGTCTCATGAGGTTTTTTCCTACTTTTCCTGGTACATAGCATTTGGGAAAGAAATTTATACATTTCTTTACTACCTGGTTACTTCTTGGTGGTTATTTCCCCTATGTACCTCATCTCCTTTACTTTGTGAACACTATATACATTCTTTCAGCTTCTCTTACAAACTCAACCTTGGCTAATTTGACCTGTAAGTAGCTTGATAAAAACACATCTCCCATAATTTGCAACTACCTCAAAATTCTGTTTTCCTAGAATGTATCTTTAGACCTACTGCTCCTATAATCTCTCCAAATAGCAAGCTCTCTCCAAATGAAAGCTTTCTGCATGTACCTATTCTAGTGTGTATAAAGTATTTCTTTCCATTCATATTTGATAATATTCTTATATACTTATAATTTAGCTATTATATTCTGCATTTGACAGAATCAAAGCTTCATGAATAAATCTATGGCTGGGATATCATTAATTCTTAGTCTTCCACCTAATAGAAAGTAATTAATCTTACCATATTTTATTTTAGGTGCTTATAAGTATAAGGTTGTTATGTTTGCTGCAGCCAATTCTAATGGATTAGAAGGTGAGGTGATTACACTGGGTTTCAATCTTTTTTCCACCCAAATCTCCTGAGGGATATGATAGTAATAGTAGCTAACACAATGACCCTTAGGTTGTTCGTAGCAAAGTCTCAGGTTGATAGAGAGAGAAGAGCAGAAGAGCAGAGCTTGAAAAAGCTTTCTGGATAGTGGCATTTGGAACTGCATTCAATATTCCAGCTGGATGCATACCAAACTCAGCAACCAGCCTCATAGCTAAGATATCTGCTCCAAAGGGGCTGGTCACAGGTTGTCCTGCATCAGCATCATAGGTTTATGGCAGTAGTTCTCAAAGAGGGAAGCACTCAAGAGGGCAGTCTGGAACTTTGTGAAAGCTTTTATTGGGGGAGACTGTGAGAAGTGAATGGGAGAGACTACTGGTGTTCAGTGGATAGGGACCAGAGATCTCTTACAAGGCTCAGGCTAGCCCCATACAACAAAGAATTGTCCTGCTCAATTTCTGAATGTCCTACAAGACGTGCATGAAGCTGTTTATAATTGAGCCAGAAACAAATTCCATATTATATATAATTACAAAGTATCTTCCGAGTTGTAACATACACTGAGTTTATAGGAAAACAAGCAACATGTAATCAGGGGACAACTGCACATGCTTTGTTTAAAATTTTACTATGAACTATCTGAGAAAAATCACATTATTGATGTTTCATGGTACCTGAGTAGCCAATGCATACACCCGTAACAATCTGCATTTGTAGTTGTCACAGTCCATGATTTTCCAAATAGATAAAAGTAGCTTACTTCGTTATTACATTGAATAAAATAGTTCTTTAAGGAGCCTCAATATGTAAAGAAATCCTTTGACAATCTCGCTAAAATTCAGATTCAGATCCAGTAGATCTGAGGCAGGGTCAAGAGTTTGCCTAATAAGTTCTCCAGTGAGGCCAGGCACAGTGGCTCACGACTGTAATCGCAGCACTTTGGGAGGCCAAGGAGGGCGGATCACAAGGTCAGGAGTTCCGTCAGGAGTTTGGTCAGCCTGGCCAATATGGTGAAACCCTGTCTCTACTAAAACTACACAATTAGTCGAGTGTGGTGAAAGGTGCCTGTAATCCCAGCTACTTGGGAGGCTGGGGCAGGAGAATCACTTGAACCCGGGAGGCAGAGGTTACAGAGCCAAGATCACGCCACTGCCCTCCAGTCTGGGCAACAGAGGGAGACTCCATCTCAAAATTAATTAATTAACTAATTAATTAAATAAAAAGATTTCTTCCTGATTGCATTTTTGCTATACATTAAAGAAAAAAAGTTCTCCAGTGATATTAACGTTACTGGCCTAGAGGCCACACATTGAATAGCAAGGTTCTACAGTAGAAGTGTCCAAGCATTTATATGTACAAATAGTCTTTTTATAATTACTTTCCTTTTATTCCTCCTTTAGATATACTTTTTCAAATTATGTGTGTAGACAAACTATATTATCAAGAAGTCATTTCATTAAAGTCAAAGGGTGTTACATTAGTTTTTAAAAAGTAGACACTGAGTCTGATAAGGCTGAAGGCAATGGTTTATGGAAATAATTTCTAGCCAACATTTGGGTGTAACACCTTTGTAACAATATGAAATTGGTACGTCATTATGACGACATGTTCACACTGCAGCCAGAATGGTACTGTCAAAGCACAAATCTAGCCATGTCACTGTTCTTAAGAACATTCAAAAGCTTTCCACTGACTTTAGGATAAAGTGCAAACTCCTTAGCATGGTTAGAAAGCCCTTCATGATTCATTACCACTTACCTTACCATCCTTATCTCTCACGGCTGCATTCTAATCTTCCAGCCAAACAAATCACTTGCAGATTGAGGTCTTTCTCATCCAGAAGCATTTGTACACTTCCTGTGCCAGAAGCACTTTACTCCAAAGACAGCAGAGGGGTATATAGCTCCCTCCCAAGGTTGAATGCTATCCCTTGTGCCTTCACAGCACACAAAACTTCTCATACTGTTACTTTTGTAAAAAGGAAGCTACTACTTATTATCTACTTCTACTTGATTATCAGTATATGCTCAGTGTCTTAATGCCTCCCATATTGTAGGTACTCAATAAACACTTAATGAAAACCTAAACTGTCTTAGCATTAAACAAAAAGAATTATATGGATTTGTAATACTAGTGGCCCTCAAAGTATTAGCAAATGGCAAGCTGTTGATAAGAAATACGATGCCCAGGCAAGGGAAAAACAATGAATTTAAACTTTCCATATTAACCTCAATACTCTAGATTCTACCTAAACAAATAGCAAAATAGTATTCTAGTGAACAAATAAAGGGTATGAAGAGTAGACAAAGCACCCTGTACATTGGCATATTATCTATACACTCAATGTCATAAATGTATTTCACAGTGGGCCAGTTTCCCTACTAACATAAAAAAATAAAAGGCCATGTGATGGAATTATAAATGCCCAAGGGCATGCCTAGTGACCAAAATGTCTATACTCCTTGGGAAAACAGTCAAGTATTCATAGACACTACAGAGAAAAAAACAAAAACTTGGTAATCAGATGGATGAATGAGTGAATAAAATGAATGAATGGATGAACAAAAGGGCAATGATCAACAAAAAATACACTGTAATAGGAACTGTAGGATCATAGGCAAGTCACTCAAATTCCTTTTGCCTGAGTTTCTTATTAGTAAAATGAAACGTTGTGTCTTTAAAGTCATATAGTTCATTAAACAGGCTACCCTTCCGGGTTACCACATACACCCAGGACTCTCTTCTTTATGCACTACCTAGATAACACATATTAATTCTTCAAGCTGACCCTAATTATCCTTTGTCAGAGAAGCTTTCTGTAAATCTCCACACTAGCTAAATATTCTAATATATGCTCCCACAAAGCTGTGTACTTTCCTTTTATAAATACTCAGCACACACGTTAGCACTTAAATTCTGTCTTTCTTACCAGTCTGTAAGCTTGTGTCTGGCTTGCCACCTACTTCCCCCCAACCCCATCCTACCTCCCAGCCCCCATCAAGGCACCCCCAACCCCATCAAAGTACCTAGCAATGGTACATATTCAAGAATTAATTTGCAGAATGAATGAAATAGGTCCTCACAAATCTAAAATTTTAGGACTTAGAAGGTGATCATCATTACTTCTAATCTAATCACTGGCTCTAATTACCTTGTCTTCTAAGATCATTTATTTTACTATTGACCAACAAATGAATACATTTGACAATCAATCTTGGTTTGAAGTTTTCTGGTATGCAAAAATTATTTTAAAAATAAGCTTTAATTGTTCCTAAACTCTCCTATTCTGTTAATCAGAATTAGGTCAAATATCAAATTGTTCATCATCCAAAGACAAATAAATTACAAGGATCCTTCTATGACTTAAAAGTGACGCTAACAATTTGAACCTTCTTTTGAGTTTTCTAGTAAAGCCAACTTTTAAGTTTTCCAAATACTAAAAAGATTAAAAAGATAAATTAAAAGAATTTTAAGGCTAGGCGCAGTGGCTCACGCCTATAATCCCAGCACTTTGGGAGGTCGAGGCGGGTGGATCATGAGGTCAAGAGATCGAGACCATCCTGGTCAACAAAGTGAAACCCCGTCTCTATGAAAAATACAAAAATTAGCTGGGCATGGTGGTGCGCGCCTGTAGTCCCAGCTACTCGGGAGGCTGAGGCAGGAGAATTGCTTGAACCCAGGAGGCGGAGGTTGCGGTGAGCCGAGATTGCGCCATTGCACTCCAGCCTGGGTAACAACAGTGAAACTCCATCTCAAAAAAAAGAATTTTAAAATATATTATTTAGAAGTGGTACTATTTAATAAAAAGCAAAACACTTGTCTCTGGTCTTCCTGGACTTTCAAGACAAATAAAGGAAAGCAACTATTTGTTTTATTTAAGAAAATCCAATGAACTCTCACCAAAAAGAATTATTTCAAATATATAAAACTGGTGGAGCATATTTTGAAGTATACTTATAGACTGATGATAAAGTACTCTCTCTCAGTGGTCACCACTTAGATTCATTTCCTTCAGTATAATAGTTCAGATTAATCTTCCTAGAGTTACTTGAAATGGAAATAAGAAATCTCTTTAAGTAAATCAAAAACTCCTATAGGGTCAAGCATGGTGGCTCACACCTGTACTCCCAGCACTTTGAGAGGCCGAGGCAAGTGGATCACTTGAGGTCAGGAGTTTTAGACCAGCCTGGTCAACATGGTGAAACCCCATCTCTACTGAGAAAAAAATTAGCCGAGCACGGTGGCACATGCCTGTAATCCCAGTTCCTCAGGTGGTGGAGGCAGGAGAATCTTTTGAACCCAGGGGGTGAAGGCTGTAGTAAGTCAAGATCGTGACACTGCACTCCAGCCTGGGCAACAGAGACTCTTTCTCAAAAAAAAAAAAAAAAATCAACCAACCAACCAAACAAACAAAAAGACCTCTTATAAATCACATACCCAAAAAGAAGAGGTAGGAAACTTATAATCCAAATATATTCAGTCAATGCCTTAATTTCATCCAAATTCTGGATGCTATTTCATATGCCTCCCAGTATTACAGCTGTTCAGATACAAGATGCATTAATAAAAACAGGAACATCCATATTCGAGAGCTCTCAAATCAAGATAAAAGCTTCATTCATTTACTGGAATTGCAGTTTCAGAAAGGCAAAAGTAGATTCTCGGTGGGGGGCAGTGGCTCATGCCTGTAATCCCAGCACTTTGGGAGGCCAAGGCAGGCAGATTGCTTGAACTAAAGAATTCAAGATCAGCCTGGGTAACATGACAAAACCCCATCTCTACAAAAAATACAAAAATTAGCCAGATGTGATGGCATATACCTGTAGACCCAGCTACTTGTGGGGCTGAGGCACAAGAATCACTTAAGCCCAGGAGGTTGAGGCTGCAGTGAGCCATGATCATATTACTGCACTCCAGCCCGGGTGACAAAGTGAGATGGTGTCGCCACAAAAAAAAAAAAGGTAGATTCTAATCAGTAAGATCAGTAGGAGTAAACAGAGACATAAATGTCCACTGGTCACTGGTTAGAGGAGTATATAGAAGTACCTTGTAGTTAGAAAAAAGGAAGACTTACAAGACAGAGATAGAAGGATTAGTGCAAAGTTGAGGTGTCGCTCAAGGAAACGATCAAAGGTGAGGCAGGATTCTGTCTGCCTGGGGAATAATCACTACCTTATTTTTAAAAAAGGGAGAACTGGCTGCTGAAGTTGAGTCATAGACCTAAAATGAGCTCTCTCCTGAACATTTCTTACTGAAGAAGTCTTTTTCTGTATAAACTCTAGACCACTCCTCTGGATTTCAAAAGAACTTGGTCTCCTGAGTATCATGTAACTAATGACTGCCAGCATCCCTGGACCTAGGTCCTAGTAATTCTTGAGTTGCCTCCATGTTTAATGTCCATGACAGATCCTTTTTACTAATGTCCCTGACTTTCGCAGGGTCAAAATCATTTCATATTGATTTTGAAGCCCTGTATAGTCACAACACATGTAAGCTCATCATCAATAAAGATTAATTATTTTTTTTAATTAATTTTTACAAAAACAGGCTTTATACTCCTTAAAGATCCTCCTCCTTCGGCCTTTAACATGCTCAGGCAAGTCCAAAGGTTCCTACCTCCGTAAGCATGTTCATTACAATCTTTTCCCTGATTGGTACTATGCCAAACATTACTTTACACTCTTCTCAAGGATCTTTTGGAAGATCCTCCCAAAACAGCTCTCTCCTACCAAGTAAACACTCTGTCTGTCAATTAGCTTATATTTGCCTTCTCAACAATCTAGTCACTATCTCTTGGTATATCAGAAACTAAAAATTAGCAAATGCATATCCAAGGGCCTCAGGAAAGTATGAGTTCAACATTAATAAAGCTGGTGGTGGAAGGAGAGAAAAAAGACATACTAAGCAAGTTAAGCGCTCTCCTTCCGCCGAAGGAATGACAAAGAAATTGGTCCTTTATTTTACATTACCAAATTTTCCCTCTTCCCACTAACTGGCTTAAAGTGACTAAGTAAAGAATGATGATACAGTATAGCAACTATTTGAAAAACCAAGAATTATTACTTGGGCAGAATTTTTAAAATCCAGGTTACTAAAATCTCTAGTGGGTTCAAGAAACCACATCTCTACTGTTGGTCCTTATATAGATACAGAAAAGAGGAACAAACCAGAGTATTCATGTCACACATTAGCCTAAACAGCAAAATAGAATCATTATCCAATTTTCACAGACTGTTAGCACGTTAAAAATCTAGTTCAACTCCTTAGTTTTACAACTGAACAAACTGAAGCCAAGAAACACTAAGACATTTGCCTGAGATCACAACTGGTCATTGGTTTCTTAGCAATTATTAAAAAGTAATTTACTATTTTCTCTTTCAAGATATGTGTTCAGAGGAATCACATAATTGAGCAAGGTCAACTATTATTTCCAAATAAGATAAGCAAACAGAAAAAATATCAAGATGACAAAGAAAACAAGAGGACTTACCTCTGGGTCTGCTAAGCGCTGAGACAAACCTACAACAAAGACGAGGTTTTTTTGTACAACACGTACACTAGCCAAATGTTTGCGATTTTCTGATATTTTCTGTTTTCTCTCATTTTGTTTCTGTTTTTTCTCATTCTTTATCCTTTGCAGTTCTTCCTGGGAGAGTGGTTTATAAACTGCTGGGTCTTCTGGATATGGCTTTAAGCATGAAACAAACAGAAGTTAGCATTAAATTAAAAAATAAAAAAGTGCATAAGCAATTATCTGATTCTGGGTGGTGGGTATGTGGTTATTTATTACATTTTCCCTTTATCAGAATGTTTTAGTTGCTTAAAAAATTTTTTTTATTTAATAAAAGACAAATGTTAAATAAAATTTTCGTAATTTTTTTTGGAGGTTAGCACAGACCACTTTTAGTGCTAAAACTTAACATCTATGGTTTAAAAGCAAAACAACAACAAACCAATCATGATATTCCCTGATGTATCCAACATAGTTTATGGGAAGATTCAGCTTCTAAGGTGCTACGTAAGAGGGAAAGAGGCCAGGAACGGTGGCTCATGCCTGCAATCCCAACACTTTGGGAGGCCAAGGTGGGTGGATCACGAGGTCAAGAGAGCAATACCATCCTGGCCAACATAGTAAAACCCTGTTTTTACTACTAAAAATATAAAAATTAGCTGGGCAAGATGGAGGGCGCCTGTAGCCCCAGCTACTAGGGAGGCTGAGGCAGGAGAATTGCTTGCACAAGGGAGGTGTAGGTTGCAGTGAGCCAAGATTGCACCATTGCACTCCAGCCTGGGCAACAGAGTCAGACGTCTCAAAAAAAAGAGGCAGAGTGTAAGCCCTTGCATCTAAATGTGAGTTTTACATATTATAATTAACAAATATTTAATGGAAATATTTCTACTATGTGCTAGAAGGTTAATGAATTTACACATTTGTTCTTAAAGCAATTATTATTGTGCCTGGAACTAGTAATTGCTCAATAAACACTAACCATCACGCTATTGGGTAATCTTTTCTTTCTTAGCATTTTGATAGCATTTTCTTTCCTACTGCTAATGCCAGGGCTACTAAAGAAGGGCTCTGGAGACAGAATGCTGGCACTGAATCCTAGCTCAGCCATTACTATCTGAATGGCTTTGGCTAAGTCATGTGACCTTTCTACCTAAGTTTTCTCATCTGTAAAATGGAAACTGTAGTACTTTATTTATTCACCTATAAAGTGATTAACACTGTGTCCCACATATAAGCATTCAAAAGTCAGTTATTACTACTAAAAACAAATAGTTAATGATAAATGGAAGATGGGGCACATTATTTTTTCTTTTCTTCCCTCCCACCAGACCCCTGCACACACAACACCAATGCAGGGGCACATTAAATACCATAATATTTCTGTAATCCCAGCACTTTGGGAGGCTGAGGCGGGTGGATCATGAGGTCAAGAGATCGAGACCATCCTGGTCAACATGGCGAAACCCGTCGCTACTAAAAATACAAAAAAAATTAGCTGGGCATGGTGGTGTGTGCCTGTAATCCCGGTTACGCAGGAGGCTGAGGCAGGACAATTGCCTGAACCCAGGAGGCGGAGGTTGCGGTGAGCCGAGATCACACCATTGTACTCCAGCCTGGGTAACAAGAGCAAAACTCCGTCTCAAAAAGAAAAAAAAAAAGCCATAATATTTTAAACTGGATAGGAAGAGATTCCAGGACTGGAAACACACCTAGTAGGGAAACTGGCACCTACCAGAATACAAGACTGGGGAACAACATAAACAATGCCAAACCAAAATTTTTTTTAAAAGGTGGAAACAAGGAAGAATGGAAGAAACAGCCACAAGCATGAAATTTTGCTTCGACTTAAATGTAAAGCTAACTTCCATCTCTTCATATATAAGTTAAAAAACAAAAAACTCTCAAATTTGTGAACATACACAGACTAAAGCTGATGGCAATTAACAAAGTGAGATTAGACCCTATATTCCTCAACTTTTACTAGTATATATACTGAGGTCTCCAAAAACCCTAAAAACCCTATTCTTTCCCTTTTATTCCTACTTTCAACTTTAACTTACTGCTTTTTAAGAAAATCTAATACTCTTCATAGTTTACCTTATCATCAATGAATTAGAGCTGGTGACCCAAAAAAAGATTCAGGCTTAATCCTCAATGGTTTGGTAGGATGTAAGCACCATTTCATTCCCACATTAAGAATCTGAATCTTTGAGTTAGTTGATCCTATTTGACATACTCCAACTTATCTGTGAGTGAAAGGCATACAAAGCAACTTTCTCAGTAATTTACCTGATTTTTATATGATTTTAGGACTTTCTCCAGGATCAAATATAAATTTAGTATGATTTCAGAAACTCAATGAATATTTGCCAACCATCAAATCTACTCTCTGGAATTAAAAAATTAGCATTTCTGTCTTTTAAAAGCCATCAAAAACAAACAAAAAATCCTACTTGTTAAATTAAAACATAAATTAAAATTTCTTGCATTTTAATTTAAGGACTCAAATGGTTAAAGATCTATTAAGGTAAGTTCAGTTCCTCAATTATGCAGTCTTCTACATTTAAGGTTTTTCTTAATGCTTCATCTCAAAACTTTATTCTCCACTTACTTTCCTGTACTTATAATTATCTCCTTCAAATCTTAATCCATTTGTCTGGATGATTTTAATCCCTTGAAGCAATATGGAACTATAAAGGCACAAGTGTAAAAAGATATAAAAGAGAACTATTTATTAACTAATTAAAAACCTTTCTATAACTTAAATTTTTCATTTGCACCTAGAAAAGCTGTTTTCTACCCCAGAATTCCTGGGGTAGTTCCTTTTGAAGTGTTTACAATTAAGTTCATTTGAGGCCGGGTGCGGTGGCTCACGTCCGTACTCCCAGCACTTTGGGAGGCTAAGGTAGGCAGATCACTTGAGGTCAGGAGTTCAAGACCAGCCTGGCCAACATGGTGAAACCACGTCTCTACCAAAAATTAAAAAAAAAAAAAAATTAGCAGGGTGTGGTGGCATGAGCCTGTAATCCCAGCTATTTGGGAGGCTGAGGCAGGATAATTGCTTGCACCCAGGAGGCAGAGGTTGCACGCCACTGCACTCCAGCCTGGGAGACGGAGCCAGACTCCATCTCAAAAACAAACAGAAAACAATTAAGTTCATTTGAAAGCTGCTGCTCTTCACTAACATCTAAAATGGCAATGTTCCACTGTCTGAATGGATCAAACATATGGAGTGCTCCTAGTTTCATTTCAAAGTATAGTTGATGCACTGCATTTTACCAGTCCATAACAAGCAAAGTACAAAAACTGAGATAAGCATTTGGAAACTCTCAGAGCAACTGACACTACCACAACATTCAGGTACATCACCAGTGGACTCTGCAGAATAAGGTATTTTTCAGTGTGGTAAAACATATGACACAAGCAAAATATTAGCCATGCATAATAGAGCTCTAGATCAGTCTTCAACAGAAAGGGGAAAAGAAAGAAAAGAAAAATCTGGATGTTCATCACATACAATGTAAGAAGCAATGACGTAATCTTTCTGAGACTTAGATTTTTCTGAGAACTGGCAGAATGTGACAAACACCCTAAGCTTTTTCCTTTGTTAGCATTCTATGATGTTGTATAAAATACAGATTAAACATGAGGCAAAGTAATGTAATATTTGAAAATGCATGAACACAAAAAAATTGATGAAGAGTGACAGGAAAGAAAAATCAAGTTGCAATACCAACTCTTATCAAATACATTACTGATGCACCATCATGTTGAGCATATAACGCTGGGTTATATTGTTGTCTTAGTCTTTTTGCTATGTTATTCCAAGTTTTGTTCCTATCGAAATATATTTTCATCAGGCTTCAAAGTCAATGTTGTTGGAACATAACTGCTACACAAAAGTTACAAACACAGGAGAACACAAGACAGAGTATGCTACTACAATTTATCTTCCAAATATATCTTATTTCAGTATCTTAAAAGAAGCTACAAATACTAGTTGTTTAATCTTAACATCTGAAAAATATATAATACACTAATTTAATCTAACCACAAATAGCAAATGCATTATCAAAAGGTGTATTAACCTCAACTTGTCCAAAAGTTTTATTAAAACATTGGAAAAGCATGTGTTCCACAACAGTGCCTCTTCCACTACAATTCCTTCTCTACACACACCACCATATATACACCTACTGTACAAACATAAGGTCAGAAAAATCGATAAACTAACACAGTGAAATAAGAATGAGAGGTAGACTAAAAAGATGCACAAGCTGGGTGCAGTGACTCACACCTGTAATTCCAACACTTAGGGAGGCTGAGGTGGGAGGATTGTGAGACCAGCCTAGGCAACGTAGTGAGACTCGCATCTCCACAAACAAACAAACAAAAAATTAGCCAGGCATGGTGGTGTGCACCTACAGTTGCAGCTACTTGGAGGCTCAGGAGGAATGCCTGAGCACAGGAGTTCAAGGATGCAATGAACTATGATGGCGCCACTGTGCTCCAGCTTTGGGTGACAAAGCAAGACCCTATTTCAAACAAATGGGGGAGATGAAGAAACCAAACATGAATAACTGCAGACAGTAAGACTCACAAAGCTAATAATACTACTACTAAAAATTAATATAAAGAAAAATACAGGCTGGGTGGTAGTGGCTCACACCTGTAATCCCAGTACTTTGGGAGACCGAGACGAGCGGATCACCTGAGGATGGGAGTTCGAGACTAGCCTAGCCAACACAGTGAAACCCTGTCTCTATGACAAATACAAAAATTAGCCAGGCGTGATGGCAGGCACCTGTAATCCCAGCTTCTTGGGAGGCTGAGGCAGGAGAATCCCTAGAATCTGGGAAGTGAAGGTTGCAGTGAGCCAAGATCATGCCATTGAACTCCAGCCTGGGGGACAAGAGTGAAACTCCATCTCAAAAGAAAGGAGAGAAGAGAGAGGAGAGAAGAGAAGAAAAGAGAAATAAAACTGATCAACTTTTTGACTAAAACACGTTTTATTTCTAGGAATATAGCATCAAATGAAAACTTACAGGTAGAAAATTTCTATTTAAAGGTACTATTGTAATGCAAAATAGGTTGCCTATGAAGAAGTATTTATATATAACACTATTTTTAATAGTGATAAACTGCCAAATAACTAGTTAACATGGTTTGCAGTTTCT